CAAATTAGAAGAGAGGATCCCTCAACATCTTCTGTAGTGTCCACGAAGTCGAGCATAACTTTCTCATCCGGACTCCAAATCAACTGGTTCCGGCGGCATTAGAAAGCTATTTTAGCGAGCTACAATTCCTGTCTAATGTCAAATTTCCAAATTCGGACTCGAACGTAGTCAAAATTGGATTCCAAAAGAGATCATGAAAATACGTGCTACAGTACGAGGACACGAATGCGAATCAATAAACGTGCACAAAAACACTCGCGACAAAACATACGCACATAAGTAATAGTACAAAAGCACACACAAAATTACTCACGCAAAAGTGCATTCGCAAAAAGGATCGTGAAAACACAAACTACAATCCTAGGACATTAATAAATATACACAAACATGCACAAACACACTCGCTCAAATGGACATGCACAAATGTACATGTAAAAAAACATGCGCAAAAGTGCATTCGCAACAACCTTCTTAAAAACACGAAATACAACACTAGGACTTTAATACGAATAACCAAACAATAGCAAAAACACTAGATACAAAAGATACATGGGAGTTTAGAAATAACACTCGACGTTTAAGTTTACGTGGATTATTTTATGGATTAATTTATATTTCTGTTATAATTGGTGGATTTAGTATTCTATAGGTACAAATTGATAATTAAGTGTCAACAAAGCAAAAGTGATCAAAGAGTAAGAAAAGAGTTGCAATTAGGAAAATCTAATCAAATTAGAAGAGAGGATCCCTCAACATCTTCTGTAGTGTCCACGAAGTCGAGCATAACTTTCTCATCCGGACTCCAAATCAACTGGTTCCGGCGGCATTAGAAAGCTATTTTAGCGAGCTACAATTCCTGTCTAATGTCAAATTTCCAAATTCGGACTCTAACGTAGTCAAAATAGGATTCGAAAAGAGATCATGAAAATACGTGCTACAGTACGAGGACACGAATGCGAATCAATAAACGTGCACAAAAACACTCGCGACAAAACATACGCACATAAGTAATAGTACAAAAGCACGCACAAAAGTACTCACGCAAAAGTGCATTCGCAAAAAGGATCGTGAAAACACAAACTACAATCCTAGGACATTAATACATATACACAAACATGCACAAACACACTCGCTCAAATGGACATGCACAAATGTACATGTAAAAAAACATGCGCAAAAGTGCATTCGCAACAACCTTCTTAAAAACACGAAATACAACACAAGGACTTTAATACGAATAACCAAACAATAGCAAAAACACTAGATACAAAAGATACATGGGAGTTTAGAAATAACACTCGACGTTTAAGTTTACGTGGATTATTTTATGGATTAATTTATATTTCTGTTATAATTGGTGGATTTAGTATTCTATAGGTACAAATTGATAATTAAGTGTCAACAAAGCAAAAGTGATCAAAGAGTAAGAAAAGAGTTGCAATTAGGAAAATCTAATCAAATTAGAAGAGAGGATCCCTCAACATCTTCTGTAGTGTCCACGAAGTCGAGCATAACTTTCTCATCCGGACTCCAAATCAACTGGTTCCGGCGGCATTAGAAAGCTATTTTAGCGAGCTACAATTCCTGTCTAATGTCAAATTTCCAAATTCGGACTCGAACGTAGTCAAAATTGGATTCCAAAAGAGATCATGAAAATACGTGCTACAGTACGAGGACACGAATGCGAATCAATAAACGTGCACAAAAACACTTGCGACTTTGGCATACGCACATAAGTAATAGTACAAAAGCACGCACAAAAGTACTCACGCAAAAGTGCATTCGCAAAAAGGATCGGGAAAACACAAACTACAATCCTAGGACATTAATACATATACACAAACATGCACAAACACACTCGCTCAAATGGACATGCACAAATGTACATGTAAAAAAACATGCGCAAAAGTGCATTCGCAACAACCTTCTTAAAAACACGAAATACAACACTAGGACTTTAATACGAATAACCAAACAATAGCAAAAACACTAGATACAAAAGATACATGGGAGTTTAGAAATAACACTCGACGTTTAAGTTTACGTGGATTATTTTATGGATTAATTTATATTTCTGTTATAATTGGTGGATTTAGTATTCTATAGGTACAAATTGATAATTAAGTGTCAACAAAGCAAAAGTGATCAAAGAGTAAGAAAAGAGTTGCAATTAGGAAAATCAAATCAAATTAGAAGAGAGGATCCCTCAACATCTTCTGTAGTGTCCACGAAGTCGAGCATAACTTTCTCATCCGGACTCCAAATCAACTGGTTCCGGCGGCATTAGAAAGCTATTTTAGCGAGCTACAATTCCTGTATAATGTCAAATTTCCAAATTCGGACTCGAACGTAGTCAAAATTGGATTCCAAAAGAGATCATGAAAATACGTGCTACAGTACGAGGACACGAATGCGAATCAATAAACGTGCACAAAAACACTCGCGACAAAACATACGCACATAAGTAATAGTACAAAAGCACGCACAAAAGTACTCACGCAAAAGTGCATTCGCAAAAAGGATCGTGAAAACACAAACTACAATCCTAGGACATTAATACATATACACAAACATGCACAAACACACTCGCTCAAATGGACATGCACAAATGTACATGTAAAAAAACATGCGCAAAAGTGCATTCGCAACAACCTTCTTAAAAACACGAAATACAACACTAGGACTTTAATACGAATAACCAAACAATAGCAAAAACACTAGATACAAAAGATACATGGGAGTTTAGAAATAACACTCGACGTTTAAGTTTACGTGGATTATTTTATGGATTAATTTATATTTCTGTTATAATTGGTGGATTTAGTATTCTATAGGTACAAATTGATAATTAAGTGTCAACAAAGCAAAAGTGATCAAAGAGTAAGAAAAGAGTTGCAATTAGGAAAATCAAATCAAATTAGAAGAGAGGATCCCTCAACATCTTCTGTAGTGTCCACGAAGTCGAGCATAACTTTCTCATCCGGACTCCAAATCAACTGGTTCCGGCGGCATTAGAAAGCTATTTTAGCGAGCTACAATTCCTGTCTAATGTCAAATTTCCAAATTCGGACTCGAACATAGTCAAAATTGGATCCAAAAGAGATCATGAAAATACGTGCTACATTACGAGGACACGAATGCGAATCAATAAACGTGCACAAAAACACTCGCTACAAAATATACGCACATGAGTAATAGTACAAAAGCACGCATAAAAGTAGTCACGCAAAAGTGCATTCGCAAAAAGGATCGTGAAAACACAAACTACTATCCTAGGACATTAATACATATACACAAACATGCACAAACACACTCGCTCCAATGGACATGCACAAATGTACATGTAAAAAAACATGCGCAAAAGTGCATTCGCAACAACCTTCTTAAAAACACGAAATACAACACTAGGAATTTAATACGAATAACCAAACAATAGCAAAAACACTAGATACAAAAGATACAGTGGAGTTTAGAAATAACACTCAACGTTTAAGTTTACGTGGATTATTTTATGGATTAATTTATATTTCTGTTATAATTGGTGGATTTAGTATTGTATAGGTACAAATTGATAATTAAGTGTCAACAAAGCAAAAGTGATCAAAGAGTAAGAAAAGAGTTGCAATTAGGAAAATCAAATCAAATTAGAAGAGAGGATCCCTCAACATCTTCAGTAGTGTCCACGAAGTCGAGCATAACTTTTTCATCCGGACTCCATTTCAGCTGGTTCCGACGGCATTAGAAAGCTATTTGAGCGAGCTACAATTCCTTGTCTAATGTCAAATTTCCAAATTCGGACTCGAACATAGTCAAAATTGGATTCCAAAAGAGATCATGAAAATACGTGCTACAATACGAGGACACGAATGCGAATCAATAAACGTGCACAAAAACACTCGCTACAAAATATACGCACATAAGTAATAGTACAAAAGCACGCACAAAAGTACTCACGCAAAAGTGCATTCGCAAAAAGGATCGTGAAAACACAAACTACAATCCTAGGACATTAATACATATACACAAACATGCACAAACACACTCGCTCAAATGGACATGCACAAATGTACATGAAAAAAACATGCGCAAAAGTGCATTCGCAACAACCTTCTTAAAAACACGAAATACAACACTAGGACTTTAATACGAATAACCAAACAATAGCAAAAACACTAGATACAAAAGATACAGTGGAGTTTAGAAATAACACTGGACGTTTAAGTTTACGTGGATTATTTTATGGATTAATTTATATTTCTGTTATAATTGGTGGATTTAGTATTCTATAGGTAGAAATTGATAATTAAGTGTCAACAAAGTAAAAGTGATCAAAGAGTAAGAAAAGAGTTGCAATTAGGAAAATCAATTCAAATTAGAAGAGAGGATCCCTCAACATCTTCTGTAGTGTCCACGAAGTCGAGCATAACTTTCTCATCCGGACTCCAAATCAACTGGTTCCGGCGGCATTAGAAAGCTATTTTAGCGAGCTACAATTCCTGTCTAATGTCAAATTTCCAAATTCGGACTCGAACATAGTCAAAATTGGATTCCAAAAGAGATCATGATAATACGTGCTACAGTACGAGGATACGAATGCGAATCAATAAACGTGCACAAAAACACTCGCTACAAAATATACGCACATAAGTAATAGTACAAAAGCACGCACAAAAGTACTCACGCAAAAGTGCATTCGCAAAAAGGATCGTGAAAACACAAACTACAATCCTAGAACATTAATACATATACACAATGTAACGCCCCACAACCTAACAGCAGAATCCAATCGGATCACCACCATTAAGTTAGGGATGCTACCCTTTTATATATACACTTAAACATTATGGTTTTAATACAAAAATACGTTATATGCTTTGAAAAGAAATCAAACTTTGTACTTTCTCGAAATCTGTACATATATATACATATTTATTGTTTGCAAAATTATATTGTACAAAAACCATAATAGAGCGGCTAACAAAATGAAATCAGAGTTTCTAGCTCGGCTACAAAAATGGCGCGAAGCATGGCATATGAACAAATATCTGACTGGCCGCTCTTGGCTAGGTCAACTTCTAAACATGTACATCATTACCTGCATCATAAGAACCTAATGAGCTTATGGCTCAGCAAGTTGAAACGGATGTAATAGCAATATATCACATAACACGTTATTCATTCAATATGTACAATATCACATATAACTTCATTCGTGATCCTTTTTCTTTGAAATCCTTCTTTTTATCGGGTACCCTTGAAGTGTGGTACTTGACTGATAGCAATAGGCTTTCGTTTTCGGAACCTGTTCATGATATTTGGCCAATAGATAATACGGGGTTTCCATACCGGCCTTTCGACCTCAGGTATTAGCCGTACTTTATTTCATTAATTGTGGGTTTTCCATACTGGTCTTTCGACCTCAGGTATTTGCCACCATGTGTTGGGTCCGCCGGTTCCTCCCGCGTCCCTTGCCTACTCGACCATCAATCAAGTACCATACTCCCATTTTCAAAACATATTCTTTCATATCACTATGACTCATCAATCATTCAAACATCATGGAGAACACGTAGCAAAAGTCACATTAAAGCACACATAATTAGGTTCTTATGATGAGCAAATGAAAGCTTCAACTTACCTCAAGTTCAATATGGTCTATGAAGTGAAAGGATCAGTCCTTAGATAAGGTGTGCTACAAGACTTGATTAGAGATGAATTCAAACTTCAAAACATAGGATTTTCAGCTAGAAAAGGTGCAGAACTTGTCCTAGCTATACTTCTATGAGTTTTTATGGTTTGATGTTCTCTTATGTGAATATGGAAGTGAAGAAATAAGAAGAGAAGCTTAAGGAATTGGTCTGGTCGTTTTTTGGAAGAAGACAAGTGAAATGAAGACCAAAACACAAAGTCTTCACTTATCTACCCATTCCCAACAAGGCCAAATGGAGGATGATGATTGGAAGGCTTGTATTTGCCGGATTCTTGTGGTTCCTCCACGTTTTTATAGCTTGAGATAAGATGGGGGCTGATGCTTACTCATTATAATCAAGTGTAAACAATTTGAGAATGGTCTTGTGCAACCTAGTCAACCAACCAATCAAATTGCACCCTTTTGCATACTTTTGATTTTAGTCTAATATGAGCTACTTCATGTAATTATATATGTAATTAATCATATTAAAATGTAATTAAAATGCAGAAATGCATCTGGGACGAATATATGACCGTTTAGCACATTTTCAGACAATTATTCGATCCCGTATTAAAACACAATTAAGGCACATGTGTAGCAAGTAGTCGTGATCATGCATCATGAATAATGAATTCTTCTTATATGAATTGATGCAATATGCTTATTTATTGGCCATCTATGGATGATTGGGCATTACACACAAACATGCACAAACACACTCGCTCAAATGGATACGCACAAATGTACATGTAAAAAAACATGCGCAAAAGTGCATTCGCAACAACCTTCTTAAAAACACGAAATAAAACACTAGGACTTTAATACGCATAACCAAACAATAGCAAAAACACTAGATACAAAAGATACAGTGGAGTTTAGAAATAACACTCAACGTTTAAGTTTACGTGGATTAATTTATGGATTATTTTATATTTTTGTTATAATTTGTGGATTTAGTATTCTATAGGTACAAATTGATAATTAAGTCTCAACAAAGCAAAAATGATCAAAGAGAAGAAAAGAGTTGCAATTAGGAAAATAAAATCAAATTAGAAGAGAGGATCCCTTAACATCTTCGGTAGTGTCCACGAAGTCGAGCATAACTTTCTCATCCGGACTCCAAATAAACTGGTTCCGGCGGCATTAGAAAGATATTTTGGCGAGCTACAATTCCTGTCTAATGTCAAATTTCCAAATTCGGACTCGAACATAGTCAAAATTGGATTCCAAAAGCGATCATGAAACACAAACTACAATCCAAGGACATTAATACATATCAACAAACATGCACAAACACACTCGATCAAATGGACATGCACAAATGTACATGTAAAAAAACATGCGCAAAAGTGCATTCGCAACAACCTTCTTAAAAACACAAAATACAACACTAGGACTTTAAAACGCATACCCAAACAATAGCAAAAACACTAGATACAAAAGATACACTGGAGTTTAGAAATAAGACTCAACGTTTAAGTTTACGTGGATTATTTTATGGATTAATTTATATTTCTATTATAATTGGTTGATTTAGTATTCTATAGGTACAAATTTATAATTAAGTGTCAACAAAGAAAAAATGATCAAAGAGTAAGATAGGGTTGCAATTAGGAAAATAAAATCCAATTCGAAGAGAGGATCCCTCA